TAATCCTTGAAGGCAGACGACATTCTCCACATGGATAGAGCCATCATTGAAGTGATCCTTCCCTCCAATAATCACAATAGAAGGAGCTCTCGAAGGCTTCGTCAGCCAGCTAGAAATGTAGCTTGCTATGTGCCCCCGCAGAGAGAAACGGGTGCTTGCTTATCCTGACTGCCGTCATGCTTTTAACCTCCGCATAACCTCGTCGACGCACCCATACACATCCTATTGGCTGACAGGTAATGCCTTTCTGCCAGCAGTGTAGCTACTGTACCAACGTCATCCTGCAAACCAGCCTCTTACGCCCCACCGGTCGCCGCGCCATTATCTGCTTTTTAACGACAGTGGGTGATTTCTCCCAGCCTGTCGCCAATGAACATCAAATTGACGGCGTTACTAAATGCCTTAGCGAAAATCAGGCAAATGCTTTTGGGAAACCTGATATCCCATTGCATTCATAGCTGACGATGTGTGGGAACAAGCTGCATAAAATCATGCACTGCTACTAAGTGTAATGGTTTTCGTATGGTTTCCGTCGGCAGAGTGGCTTAACTTTAGATCCAATGCAAACCTACTTAAAAGTTAATGTTTTTAAAGGACTCCCTCGTTTTTTCTGCCCACGCCCCCTCACAGTTCCCGACATGAGCAGAGAGGAACAGTAGGATGAACGTGCCTGCGTTCTCCAACACTCCAAATATTCACCGCTACTCATACATGGATCGTGGGCACATCACTGCGCCTTGTAACATCGAGTTAGCAGTACTCTGCAATTAACGCTACAGAACAGACAAAGGAATTGGCCAAGCCCTTACTAGCTCGTTGTCTGATATAACATATATATATATATATGGCTAGTAAAGTAGAAGATCCCAAAGTTTAAGTCAGCCCGTAACACTTTGCTGCATTTCTTATTGCCAACCTCCGATCATGCCCCGCGCAGCGCTCTGTCACGCCACTCATGCCCACCCTCTTTACAACCCCCCTTCTACGAAGAGTGGCCGTCCTACTGGAAAACATGTGAAGCGGGCTGCGCAAATTTTTAATCGCTTTCTGGTGCACTAGCTATGTTCAATGAAGACAGTAAAGAAGCGAGTAGTTTGTTTGGCTGTTCTGTAATCATATTTACTGCAGAATTACGTTAGTCTATACGGTAAGGATAAATGCTGCGTGGGTGTGCCCCAGGTGTTTACTGGAATTCGTTAGCGATCAGAGTGCACAGTGGGTACAGGTGCATTAGCTGTCACTAATTCCCCCTGCCAGAATCCTGAAAGGAAAGGGCAAAGGGTGAAGAAAGCATGTTTTTAAAAAAAAGAAACCCCGTTCTCTTCCTTCAAAGCTTGCGTGAAGTAAGGAGTTATCCCCTCTCCCTAGGGAGGCCTTACAGGGAGTGTCAGAAGATACGTGCATGCACGCGCACTGACACTTACTAAGGATGCCATGAGAAAGAAAGAAAAACATATCGGGACCAACTACAGATCGTCTCTGCAATGCAGATCCATTCAGCTCGTGTCTTGGAGTTTCGCTAATCAAAATCGCCAGAGCGTTACGACGGCCTGGGGGGAGCCTCAGCCCCAGTTCACTAGCACACAGCCCCGTAAAAGGAGGCAAAGAAGGCCCTCCACAAGGGGCCCTTACAGCTTGTTGCTCTTGATGCCTTCTACACACCCAGCATTTCCCCAATGCTTTTAATTAGCTCCTTTTTTTAGTGCACTGCAGCAACAGCAGCGGCTAATGCAGCCCGCGCCAGCTGCGCGCCCTCCTGACTCTACTGGCAGAAGCTGCCCTTCCAGAGCAGAAGTTCGATCGGGGATCTCATAATTTGCCGCATAAGAAACGGCACAGCCTACTAGGAATCACTGCAGAAGTACTGCAGCAGTGGCAGCTACAGCAGTAGCAGTTGGAGGAGTCCACCATTCTACCAGAGTCCAAGGGCCACGGGATAATTCAAGACCCCCTCAAGTCCTTCCAGTATGACGGACGACGAGCAGCAGCAGCAGCAACTTGCTGCCCTACAGCTGGGCTTGCAACAAGTAAGAAGCCGCCTTAGAGGCGGCGGGGCCCTCTTCACTGGCCTCCTCCGTGGAAGACGCAGATGTTTGCTGCCACGGCTTCCGCAGCACCGTCCTTCCGGTTTAGTTGTTTTCTGTACTTCTTGCTGCGGTTTTCACATGAAAATTATCTGCTGCATGCTGCTGTTTCCTCTGACCTAAGCAGCGCCGGGATTCACTGCCTCTGCTGTCTTCAGGCGCTCGATGCACAGAGCATGCTTGCTTCTCTGACATCCCGATGCTTTAACAGATGCGTCGATAAACCGGGTAAAAGCAAAAAGGCCCTTCTCTTCGCTCCTCTACGCCCTGCTATTCGTGTGACTACCCCATGCAACGATTCCGGCAGCTCCGTGTGTTCTATTGGGGCTGCTGCTGCTGAGTGCACTGTTCGAAAATCCCCAGTCGGTCATAATAAAAGTGCGAAATGCATTCCTTCTATGCTCAAATGGGATCGTGATTTTTCCTGGTGCTACTGAGTTTCAGGCCGTTCTCTGTCGACTAGCCAGCAGCAGTGTCTGTGGCAATGCTCCCAGCGGTGGAGCGAAGTGCAGCACTTTGTGGGAATGCGAAGTCGGGCCCTCCTGCAGCAGCAGGGAGGTGGTCTTATGGGGTCTGCAGATGGCGGCTCTAGTAGCCTCTCCGCAGACAGTCTCCTGAGCTAGCTGCAGCGGCGGCAACTTTAATCGGAAGTGCCCTGGTGACGGGAGTTGCAGGCCTAACAATAGCGCCCGAGAAAACGAGATTGGGAAGGGGACATGGGCACGGGTTTCACCAGCAACTGTATCCCACAGCCATCATGTACGTTTTGAAAGTACGGTTATGCGTTACGAAGTGTCATGCCACTTTCGTACTTTGACATTGGGGGTTTGCTTGCATAGCGGACGTCAGAGTAGCACCGGTTCAAGATGCATGCAATCGCTTTGCAGGAGCAAGAGACGCTACAGTGTACACTAGCCAAAGTTTCTTGGGGACAGATCGAAATTGCAAATTACGCCTCCTGTAGCCTCATTTTTAGTAGGTGGTGTCCTTGAAGCGGATAGACAGATGCCCACGGGCAAGAAAAGAAAGCCAGGGAAGCTGACAGTGTGCAACGGCAAAAGTCACATGTGCTGACTTTGTGAAACAAATTGGAGAGAGGAATGAGCAACAGGACTTAACACGCTGTGCTCGTGAGCTGAGCTACTCCGAAGAAGGCTTGGGCCTTCCTCCCGTGTTGATACTGCGGGTTTCCTTCACACTGTCCTGTATTGCGTGAACTCCAGTAAGGAATTAAGTACGGGCTACTTTTTTCTTTTTGCCCCGGTGCTGCTGCAGACCGCGTTGCTTATGCTGTTGTCGTTTTCCGGCGTTTTGTGGGACACCAACAAAGTGTGCAAAGGGGGTCGAGCATCCAAAAGAGCAGTGCCAAAGTTCAAATCCCTACAGAACGAGTGCGATCCAAGCCCTCTACGTGCATGCGAGCGTCACAAGGCCTGGCCTACTTGAATGCCACGGTTTCCTCGAGCCCTCGCAAGGAGCAGCGTCAGGCCCTGGAAACTTGGGCAGGCCCCTAAGGGCCATGCTGCATTCTTGCCTGCTTCCCATTCCATACAGGCCGTACTGCGGGGCAGGCACGGCGAGGAAAATGCTTTAGGAAAACGGCTCCTAGAGGCCAGACTGCGGATAGCACTGTTCTCAGTAATTATGAGGGCCCCGGGTGTCCGGTCCTCAAAAAATATCGGTGTCGGCCTCGATCTCTTTCCAGGGAGGCAGCAAGGCTTCGATTGACTCGGAAACGCCAGATTCTCCACAAGGCCCCACCACAGGAGCACCTTTGGGGCACAGGGGGCTGCGGCTTGCCGCCGCGTCACCTGCTAAGTGCAGCGGTGGCTCCGCTACGTCAGAGCTGTTCACTGCTTCGCTGGAAAACGCGGCCTTGGTTCGTTTCTCTCCTTGCAGGCTAGCGGCCGCCGACACGCGCTGGCTGCGTATGCTGCTGCTTCCTTCCACTGCGGCATCTGTGCTACTGCTGTTTTTATCGAGGTCGCTGCAGTCCTCATCCGAGTCGCTGTCGTACAGCTCCACGTGTAAACGTGTATGAGGGGGTTCCTTGCCAGTATCTGGTGCTGGTGGCGTCGGTGCTGCTCCTGCTTCTCTTGTTTCTGCTAATTCTGCTGCAGCTGCTGCCAATGCAGCAGCAGCTTCTGGGCAGACGGATGCGAAGGCTTTTTCTGCTGAAGCATCCACAGGTACACAGACCGTCAGTAAGAAGGCCGCGTGCTGGGTGGAGGCCGGTATGGATTGGATCCCTTCAGGCATCCCCTGTTGGGAGCCCTCTGTTGGGTCGGTCTCCCATGAAAGGCCTTTTTGCTGCTGCAGCATACGCCTGGCGTCCTCACAACAGCTATACGTGCACACCAGGGCAATGGCTCCACTTGAGCAAAGACCAATAGGAAAACTGAGACTACAGCCTCTGAGGGGACTGAGGCAAAGCAACATACGATAATAATGATGGCAGCTTTTGCAAAATCACAAAGGGGCACATATATATATATATATATGTACGCACAAGCACACACACACATTCTGCCGGTAGCTCATAGCCACCATAACGATACGTCTGATCGATAAAGGCTTATATGCCAGCAGCACTGAAAACATCGGCTAGGATTCCCTTACCCGGCACCTTTCCTATCCACACTCCAGAGTGCACCACGCAAGGGTGACACAACCAGCTGAAAGTCGCTGATTTTCAGGCTGTACGTACACTTGAATTCCCAGGCCAGGCGATCTTCGCTGCAGCTGCAGCGATGCTTGGGAATCGTGCAGCGGAGGCAGGGGTGTGCTGCTGTAGCTGCTGCCTTGACAGCGGCAGTAGTACGAGGCAGTACTATTTGTAGCACGTACACCAAGCCCTGCAAGGCCTCTGGGGCTGAGACGTTGCCACAGGACCAACAAGCACAACCCTAGCTCGTGCCACCGAAAGCAACACGCAGCATTATTTTAGTACCACTAGCGGCAAGAGCAAATGCGACAGAAGCTGCAGCAGGCTGTATAATCCTAGCTAGCGGTCACTCGAATATCGTACGCGCTTCCTTTCTGCGTCCTGAAACGGTGTTATCTTGCATTTCCGCTTGGCTGCTAGATGCTGCAGCCGCTTTAGACGCCACGAGGAAGGCCCTTCTGAGCCCCCGCCGCTCATCTTTGCCGACTGGTGAGGCAGTGGGTGATTGGGCTGTTGTGTCTACACACCCAACGGGGATTACGGATCTGCTACTGCAGTGGCTACTGCCTGCCCATTCGGACATCCACGGTGACCAGTTCCGTGACGCCATATCCGTGGGCTGCGCCTGCAGTTGGACGCTGGCTTTACCTGTCTCTCCATTCTGCCAAAAAACGAGGCCCCCCATAAGAGCAGCGCAGAAGGCCTCTGCGTCTGGGGGAGCTGCAAAGCAGCCGTCCCAGGCCACATGATCAGCCAGCGAATCCTCCTGTGCACCCTCTGATGCCCCTGGTGCTCGTGCTCCTGATTCTGTTTCTGCTTGGCCCAGCGGCTCTATCCGGGCCTCACGAGTAACTCGAATACGTTGAGGCGGTGGTGGCAGAGTCCCTGTGAAGTAGTAGAGAAGGTGCCATGCTAACGTAGCACCAATACTCCATGAAGTTGTGTCAAAGGGGGTCCAGAGCTCGGTGCGCGGACATACCTTTGTACTTGCTCTTTGGGAAAGACACAGCCTCCTGTAGTGTTAGTTGGTGCTTCTTCGCCACCGCAGCACATGCAAACTGACTCAAAATCCCGCGGGCTTCGGGGTCTCTCCAGCATCGTTTCAGTGTGTCTACAACGGCACATCAAGAAGCAGCTGATTTCAGCATCTTCTAGCAACTGCAGGTGGGAAGGCTAGCATAGAATCTAGCTGCTTGCTCGCAGCAGCGTACGAGGTTGTAGAGGGGAGGCACACGAGACACTACAGCAACAGTAGACCAAGCACAAGACGACACCCTGTACCCGTAAGGAGACCATCCGTGACTTGAATTTTTGTGTGCTTCTTGCCTTCGTTTAAGACGACATCACAGCACAGCGCTTCAACATCGCGTTTGTCAGCTGCGTGCGTGCCTGAATGTGCTCACCATAAGGAGCAGCCAGTCCCAGTCACATCTCAGCCTCTGGTGCTCGTTGTGTGTCTTTTGCTGGCTACCTGTTCACCAGATCCTGAGCTACAGCTACCATTGCGTGGCTGTTTTTTAGGGCAGAGAGCAGACAGCTTGACTGACAAGGGCCGATGCTCATGGGTACCCGGATCCCTCGCTGTTCCGTGTTGGAGCCTCTTGACCCTTCACCCCCTGCTTCCGGAGTGAGCAGCTCCTTGTAATGCCAAGGCTCTATTCTTTGATGGCCGCATACATTTAGAAATAGCTTCTTTCCGCTCTTCAGTTTTGACTTGATAACAAAGAAAGGACTGGGGTTAATCCACACTGCACCCTCGCCCTCCTCCTGAGGGCCACTGAGGCCAGGTATGCGCAGCTCTGGGTCAATTGAATCTTCTGCATGTAAGTGCTGGTGCAGAAGCGTTGGTGTTGCTAAGTCGAGGTACTGCTGCTGCTGCGTGTCTCCCACCGTTTCCGGCCATGCACGGGAGCCTAGGTGGCTCCCCTGTGCTGACTTGGCCTGAAGGGCCAGATCTCTAGCACTCAGGGCCGAGTCCCACATAATTCTTTTGTGCCTTGCTCAGTCTTAAATAGGCAGACTAGGTGGTTGGTGAGGGTAACTACCGCTGCTCTCTGGGTAGGAAGACACTTGCCACCTTGGATACCGCTGCGGTGTGGCCCTCCTTTCATACATAAGCTTGCGTGCCTATCTACTCGTGCACCTTTGCTTTGCTAAACCTAGTGCCTTGCGTATCTACCAATACTTGAGCCTCCTAGCAACAAGTCGATGCACCAAGCCCTAAAATATTGAGGCGACGGCACCGTTACGACTAGCAGAGGCACGTACACCCACAAGAAGGGACGGCAGGAAAGTGTTACTAGAAAACAGGCAAGAAGTCACCTCAGGCAGAAGTGGGTTGAGACCGAAGGGGGGCAGGGAACCACTCATAGCAACAGACTGCCGCACACTGGACGAAGGAGCACAAAAATGGAGAATGTTTAGCTTCGTCAGCGAAACATTCTGTGCCACATCTGCATATGCGGCTTAAACTTAGACTGATCTTTGGAAGGACTCGATTAGTTTCGTCAGTTAGCATCTCACAGCCTTTGCCATGGGAAATGCTGTTGGTGCATGCATGCAGTTTTCCGGGAAACGGTCCTTAAGGTCGGTCCGTACCTGAGTGATCTTTGGTACTTTTTAGAAAGACCTCATTCTCTTCGTATTTACAGCACTTTTATATGTCCAGCAGCTGTGTGTATGTAGCCCTTCTGCTTGTGGGAGATGCCTGCTCCCTAAGAAAATCTAGGCGCTCCTCAGCCGTCGCCGTCGTGTCGGCTGTAGGCCTATTTCACTTGCTAGGAAACCACTCTTTATCGATCTCACTTTGAGGTTCTGGGCTATGTGGCGCTGCCGTGGAGGTTGAATTGCACTGGGAGGGCTGCCGTGAGCTTGTGCCCTGTGGATATATCGCGCAAGGCCTGTAGCCGCCACTCCTTCTGGCCGATGGCGGAAACGCCCCCTTGCGGGACTGGATTA